GTTGCGACATTATCTGCATATAGTTCCAAATGAAAGTATTTTTAGTGAAAAACTGGTTGAAGATTAGCCAACAGGCTGTCGATTCATTAAATAAGTTATTTTCTCACAAAAGCTGTTTGTTCAGCGTAGTGAAGCCTCTCCACCATTGACATCCATTAAAAAAAATGCCTCTGGTATCCTTCCCTGTGTACTGCCAAAGACGCAGCGTTAGCATTAGCCGCTATGCTTTTTTTGGCTAAAGGTTGCAGGCTAGCCGTCCAGTGGCTTTGGTTCAGGGTTACTTCATAATTACAGACAGGTGTTTTGGAGGAGGGCTGGAACTGAAGTCTATATGATGGTAGCTCTCCAGGAGCAGGGTTGGAGATCCCTGGACTACAGAAACAAAGTGTAATAAATACTTAAATATATTTTGTATTTTGGATGATTTCTTTCCAGTAGTCTGAAAGAAGACATGTTTTAGAAGCAAAATAGCCCAAAATCTCAAAATTGACTAGTGCATGAGGAAAAAAAACACCCAATAATAATGGTAGTGTAGTGTCTTGCCTCAAGATCTGCCCTTTTCAACTGTCTTGCCCTTCTTGCTTAATTTGTATTCCTCTGTATGAAGCACATGTGAAATGGCCACACTTTGAAACGCACTTCCATCTCTTTAATTTAACCCTGAGGTGTTTGCGCTTGAACTCATGTCATAAATCGTTTACTTTAAGGGTGATTTTCATGTTACAGCTGTGAATGGTCATTATTGAAAAGAGAAAACGAGAGCTGGGTGAGGTGAGTGAGTCTTGGAGCAAGTGAACGAGAGCGGAAGGGAAGTCCATTTATGTCCATAAAAGGAGTCAGTGGCTGAATGTTCTCTTTTTCACTGGGTGTTAGGTGGACAGATGGATCCCTGGGTCTGTGTGGAGGTTTCTATAAGGTAATTGGCTGTCATACACAGCTTCTTTAAGCCTGCAGAGGGGATCCAGGGAGAGATTTTAATGGGGGGTGAGCGGTAAGGTCTAACATATGGAAACTGGGGTGGCTGAACTTCAGCCAGGAGTGCACTTTTCTCACTTTTGCCCTTCCTTCCTTCAGCATATCCTGTTGGAGTCTCTTGATTAAATTGTATCTCTCTCACTCCGGTAATTTTTTCTCATTCTCACCAGGTCCATGTCTTTTCTCCCCTATTCGAATTCTCCTTCAGGCATGCTGGAGGTGTGTAATCTGTGTGTATTGGCCTCTTTTCTAACCTTCTTTATATAAAATAATCAGCTGGTTTTTAGCAGAAAGCATAAACAATGCATTTTGACTGAACATGGAAAATATCATGTAGCTCTTTTAATTTGTTATTTTTACAATAGTAATATTTTATTTATGTGTGTAATTTATACTTTGGAACTTATTTACAACATAATTATTTTTGACAGTGTATATAAAGTTTTAAATTATAATTTTATGTAATTTTATGTTTTACTTTTTTTTTTTTAGCTGAACTGATATTTTATTTGATATTCATTTGATATTTAAAGTAGCAGGTATATGTGGTATATAGTAGTTATATAGATTATTATTTAACCTTCAACCTCATGTATAGAAACACCACCTACTTTCCGATGCACAATAGGAAAAATACTGTAATTACTCATGAATTCATTTTAGCATCTCAATGACAATCTGTGCATGCGTGTATCGATCAGTAGACCTGATTTAGCATAAAACTCTAAGCATATGATAGAAGAGAGGCTGGCTTTTGTCAGTGTTATTTCACACATGCACACATTCTCAGGTGCATGCACGTGCCCTCAATGTTTCATGAGATTCCCTTTCATCGTCCCCGTAATCAATGTTGCCTAATGCATTTCCCACACACGGCCTTCTGCTGGGTGCCAAATGAATTTGAAACCTGCTGTAAGCGTTAGTTAAAATCAACTCTTTTTTTTTTTTTTTTTTTTTTTAATCGCTGGGACCAGCAAGCCCGAACCTAATTTATTCAGGCATGAATATTTCAGTACCCTGTAGTGTGTAGTGATATTGCATTTTAAAAACACCAGGAACACTAGATGCTCAAAAACTTTTAGCAGCCGAAGGTGATCAATACAGATTCCCGGGTGGCTCAGAGATCTCCAAGAAAGCTCTCCTGCAAGGCCATGTTTAATTCTCTGTGTGGGTACATTCTTTTTGTTGTGCTTCTGTTTGTTGAGAGATACCTCGGTGACTCCAGACAGCTGGTTCAGGGGTATAGTCGTCGTCTCGAGGGAAATCAAAACACTGTTAACTGGAGTCTGAAGGAAGTGAGGAGAAAGGAGAGTTTTCTAGGGGTTTCTTCTTGCTGAAAGTGTGTGGGAAGAGATATAGCGTCTCTGTGTGTGTGTGTGTCTGTGTGTCTGTGTGTGCATGAAGTGAGCCTAAGCAACTTAAACCCTCCATAGCTCTCCGTCTACACACAGAAATTTCCAGATGTTTACTCAGGAGCCCTATTAACACTTCAAGTCCTTTTCTTATTGATTGTCATGTGAGATTTGAGTCTGGACTCAGGCGGAGAGTGTTATGACAGATCAGAGGGAGGACTCTTTGATAGGAATGAAATATAATTAAAGGTCTGATGTCACTTTGAAGATGAAAAGTGCCTAGGTGAACTTTACTCTTG